CTATTTCGTTTTGGAGAGGTGGGATTAGGAGCCCTGCTAATGGAGACCATGGGCATATTGGGGTGTAGTATTATGTTAGAATTACTTGAGATCTGTTTGTTTTAAACAGCAGACTGCCTTGTGGAAATGCTGCACGGCTCAGGAACCTTAGTTCCAGCCATGCCAGTGCATTAAACAGCATGTAGGGGTGTCCCTGAACACCAGGACAGAATTGTCCATATTGTTGAATACTTAAAATGGTTGATGGCATCAGTTTGAATGGGGCCATCTAGCTCTCTCCCATGTCATTCCTGGGTATGTTTTACCATGGGCCAAGGACTTGTTTTGCCATGTTACCATGGCTCAGGGATCATTCCCAGCAGGCCACTCACCAGTATGTTTTGGAAGGCAAGAGGTTTTAATGGTACAGGTGCAGACTGTTTCATGGCAGTTGGCCTTGGTCCCAGACAGTTCTCTTGGGAATATTTGTTTATTACCATAGCTGTCAGTGCTGTATCTCTTAACATGATGCTGTGCCACAGCTGATCAGTGTGCCAAAGAAACACAAGCACAGAGCAGTGCTGATGTAGCTACATTGCTTGTGTGATTCAGAGCTGTAATATAGCCATGTTTCTTACCCAAAGAAACAGTGTTTTCATATACTGTACTCAATGACTGCAAGCTGCACTAGCAGCTACTTACTGGTATTCCCTGGGATGTTTCCCTCTCTTGGGTATTTTCTCTGTATCACAAATCAGCAATGAGCAGTGCACGTAGATCTCAGAGGATTGCTCGGGATCTTTTGTGCTCCTGTTGCTATTACCCCTCTGATAGCACACAGTTGTGATCCTTCAATGGCACTAATGGGAATCGAGGTCCCACCTTTATCTCAAGCTCCTACATTCCTATTTTAGTGTCTTTTGACATCTTCACAGCTCCTCTTTGCTGGTGGACTGCTCATTGAGGACAAATTCTTTGCAGACTGGTGTGTTTTTTGACTTATCAATGAGCCTTCCTTTTCACTACCTCACACTGTTTCAATACCCTTTTTGATAATTTTTTTTTTCTCATTATGTGCCTATAAAAGGAATAGTCCTCTATTTGTTCAGTTTCTGTCCTGAATGTCTCTTTCCTTTTATTTATAATCTAACATCTCTCAGAGGAAATAGCTTGCTGCAAGACCATATAATTAGCCTGGAACCTCTGAGCCCCAGCATGGCCCCCATCTGTCACCATTAAAGACCATGAGTGTTTTACTCTTAAGTTATCCTAATGGGAAATTCCTCTTCCAAGGGAACTGATAGAAGCTGATACTTGGGATGTTTAAGCAGGAATGCAAAGAACGGGAAGGAACAAAGTAGTTTGATGTCCAGAGAGCCTATATGCCCCAGGAGATGTTTATTTCAGTACTTAATTTTTCTAATGCATGGCTTTGTCAAAGGGAATGCTTCTTGTGTGTATCAGTCTGAAAACCTTAAAAGACTTATACTAACTTCAGAATTTAGTGTCCTAAATAAGTGATTACAAGGAAAAATAATTATTTTGTGAGCCACTTACAAATACATGCCATGAATCTGAATGATTTGTGCTAATGTTTTGAAAATATTAAGGATTTTACTAGCAGTGTTATATTTGTTCTCAAGGACTAGATACAAGACAAAGAAAGGAGCTGAAAGGAGGACAAAAGGTGATTCATGTTGTCCCTGGTAGCACACAGAGAGACTCGTATTCAACCCATTTGGTTTTAGACATGTGACAAAGGGTCCTACATTAGGAATGTTGTTTTTGTAGCCTTCTTCACTAGACACAGTTAGGGAGACACACTTCAGACCTCTCCTTTTATTGACAATAGAAGTAGCTTGTGAGGGTGCAGTCCTCATTTTGATATATGAGGTTGACATGAGCTTAATTATCCTTTTTTTTTAATTATGTGTATGTCAGTTATGCAACAGACATGAATTAAATATTAGGTTGAACAATATTAGAATTACAAAAAAAAATACAATTCTAAAGCCTATTAAAATGTGTCTGTGCAATTAGTCTCCAAGCACACTATTGTCTCCTCCTTTCTCGCTCCCCATCTTTTTATTTTTCCTCTTGTCTCATTTTTCAGGTCCTTCATGTAAGGACTGCTTCTCCCTCAGTTCAGGACTCATTAGTTCTCCATGTCCCATAATGTGCCTGCAGCACTTTGGGATAATAAAATAACAGTGTGAAGTAATAGAATGCTGCTACTACTTGCAGTAAGCAAAAGGCAAAGTGTTGTCTTGCTTCTATCTGAAATACAAGCAGTGCAGACTTATTTTGAATTAGCTGCCAACTGCTGAACACAGATACATTGAAGGACAGCCCCAGGCTGTTTTGAAACAGAAGTGCAGAGTAAATGAATCCTTGCTTGGGATGCTTGAAGGCAGCTGGATGCATATTGCTTGCCTCTAGGCCTATGAGGAGTGACATGTTACACAGTTTTCACACCCTTCTAAATATACATGGTGCCAAATGACACTGACGTGACTTGCTGCTGAAAATACTATGCAGTTTTATGGCTTGCATAGCACCTTAGCCAGCTTCTGGGATCACTTCCCCTTGGTCCCTGCCCAGCGCTGGACCAGTGATGTGTGTACATTGCCCAGCAGTAGGAAGAAGGTCTTCTTCTCTGCTCATGTTGATGTGTTAAAAAGATAAATTACTTGTTGGTAGAATTGCCCTGTTAAGGATTGGGACTTGACATGCTTCAGTGATCTCCAGTCTAGGGGAAGGTTAGCAAAGCTTGGGGAAAGGGATTTACTGCTGATAGTGGGCACAAAGAATGCAGAATTTGTGGGCCACAAGGACATTTGGCAGAACTCCCAAGATAAGGAAGAAACTAACAAAGCCAACTCAGCAACTGTGAAGAAATGAGGAGATTGTGGCCAGCAACTCACAGCCCACTGAGTCAAGAAACCCACCTACTCAAGAGAAAAACTGAGCATGTGGACTAATTAGCATGAGATGTGAGAGAATCATTAACCAATAGAAGGTAGAATACTAATCAATAAGAGAACTCTGTGACTTGTAGCCAATGAACAGTGATTTCTTTGTTTACTACAATGTATAAACGGTGTAAAGTTTTGATATTAGGGGAGCCAGCTCGTTGCGGGTTACCACCAGCTACTACTTTGTGCAAATGAGAAGAAATGGAAATACCTTGTCTTCACGTGTAAATTGGTGCTGTGCACCGGGCAGCCTACATTTGGGACAACAGTGTTATTACTGCCTCTGCCTTTCTCAGCTACACCAGAGTCCTGGAGGCTATCGGTTGAGGGATAGCACTTTATTCGTGGAGAAGGTGCTGTGTAACAGGTATTCATGGGTGACTGATAGTGGCTACTAATGGCCTAATCCTGTGGTCTCTGCCAGTGTGGCAAAGATGTTTGCTTGCTCCCTGGCATTATCAAAGTGGCTGGGGGTACAGGATTAGCAAAGGAGAGTGAGTGAGGGAGAGCTGCAAGCCCCCATCAGCAACTCTCTCCCCAGCATTGCCCATATCTTTTCCGAAAGTTAGGATAACTTCATGGCACTTGATGGTATTAGTGCATCTTTTTTCATGAGTATTGTGGAAAATTCAGATTGTGTCATCTTTCACTGATCCAGCAGGCTTGGCAAAAAGATTTGGTCTCATGGTCTTTCTCACTTAAACCAGCAGTCTTGGCACCTGATCTGCAGAAAGTTGAGTGCTAAGCACAGAGCTGTGAAATATGGGGATGACTGTAATTGCTTTGTTTCTTCTGCAGAGATATGTCCATATTAAAATCAAAACCAGATACTATAGCTATGTGGGATTGATTGTCCTTTATTCTCTTGGATACCTGAGAGCCTAGAGCATGAAGGTATCCTGAGAATATGCTTAGATGGTATCCACTTCCACACAAATATCTTAGGAGTCAAGGCTCATATGGTTTCTTTAACTTAAAGAAATGTTGCAAACTTGCTGCAACTATTATATAAAAACAAGCATTTAGGTTTGAATCCAAGAACTGTGTTACAGCTCCCTGAGCACTTTAACTGTTATTTTCAGGGCACCGCAGGGCATAAGTGTGAAATGTTAATTGTGGCAAAGTGCTCTGGAGAGTGGGGTCTGTTTTGGGGACCCAGCAACTGGGAGGGTGGAGGCTGTGTGACTGGGAACTCCAAGCCGAAACACCTAGAAGTCATAGGTAGGGTCTCAGAAGTGGGGGTTTTTTATTAATTCTTTTTAGTATTCCGTGATGGTGTATTTTATTTACCTTTAGTGTTTCTGAATCATCAGGACATAAATGGGCTATGTCTTAATCAGCCCAGAATGGGGTTTTCAGGAGATTGGGGTTAGTGCAGCTGAAAAATTAATTGCACTATTGCTCTAAATACTTAACTGCTCTAACTTTATCATAGGTAATCCAGTATGCACTGAACTAGAACCAGTGGTTGTATAGTTTTATTGAGAGATGTCTTGAGGAGGAAAATGGTTTCCTAAAGCAAAAAGCTTTGTCATCTAAATGTTTGTATTTTAGCACTCTTTTTTTTTCTTCCCTGCCATTTGTGACCAAAGAACTATAAAAATTCTGCTCTTCCAATTGAGTTCTCTTAAAAAAAAAGAAAAAAAAATTCTACAAAGCAACATTTAGAGATCATAAAGTGAGAAAGGTGAGGAGCTGAGTCAAAGTCTAGTAAGACTTCTAGTCCTGACCTGTGTCTGAAGCAGACTATTTTTTCCTTGTAGAGAGCCTTCTGAGCTTTTATTTTAACACCTAAAGTTAGGTAGCGTGAATGCCCTAGATAAAACCCTAGTTGCTCTACTCACTTTGCTTACATGTCAAAATTCATGTGAGATGCCAGTTTTTCTGAATCAGTGTTCATAACTTGTTCCAGTTATTCTCTCAGCACAAAAATAATGCTAAATGGGCATTAAACTGTTTTAATATACAGTGTCTGTTATGTTTGGTAATTTTTTTTGTGATCTCTTTTCAGTGTAATAAATTCTAACTAAAATCATTGTCTTGCAGGTCTGAGTACAGCCGTATGTCCTCTACCAGCAGTGAGTATAACTTTGATTATTTTTTTAAAACAGATTCTTGTATTTTCTATTTTTCTGCTTGCTTCATATTTATTAACATCAACCTGATGTTATTGATGGAGTTCACTTTGACAGAGTAAAGCCCCCATTCCTCCTCTTCTTGGATCTATGTCTAGAAACAGCATAGAAAATTAAACTGATTAAATATTTATGACCAAAATATAAGCCGTGGGTAAAGTCATAAATATTGGAGCTCACAAGTATGCAAGGCAAAATGAGAATAAAACCTATAGACACTGTGTGGCCAGTATGAATGGGCCCTTCATCCGAAGGAGTTTGCAGTGATGAATGTCATTAGAGCTGGGGAATGCAAGAATAATTGAATTATTGTAAGCTGGTGCCAGTGAAGCACTTCAGAGCAAATTTTTCTTTGATTTCAAAGATGGTAGAGGCTCTAATAAGTGTCACAGGCTTTCCAGGTATTTACAATAGCCAGTTGAATTTCAAGTTACCCAACTGATAAAAGACGAATTCTGGTGTCTGGATTATTTTTTATTTATTTTTCACCAATGCAAAATGACGATTTTTTTTTTTTTTGAAGAACAAGGAGCACTTTTTCAGTCCTCTTTCTACTCACTCCAACCACTTCCTTAGTTGCAGGACATACTGCATCCTCAGCACTTTGAAACGCAATAATGCTTATTCGTGCATGGCTACTAGTATCTCTCTCTTGTCAAACTGCAAAGTGATGCCCGTCTCCCTGGTTCACACATAGACATGAGCTTTGTTTATGCCAAGCAAGCACATCAAAAATTCACAGATGACAAATTGTGTTTTGTAATCTGGATCTTTAGGAACCATGAAAATCAGAGGGGGAGAAAGCTGTCAGTTTTTTCTCATTCACACGTCCTGACTGAAGCGTGGAGAGTGTTATTTTCTATCTCCCATGGTCTTCAGTGAAGGACTTTTATTGATTGCAACAGGAGCTGGATCAGACAATTTTTGTAATGTCTGGCTCATGAGCTGGTGTGACTAGCAGGGAGCTCGCTGTCTTTCCTCCATCTGCTCAGTGTGTGTGTGTGTGTGTGTGAGAAAAAGAGAATTTAGTGCAGCTTTTTCCTAAATTCTGTTATTTAAATAGATTTCTGGATTCCCACTGTCAGACATAATTTTTGAAATGACTGGGAGGCAAAATCCAGGCAATCAACTTCTCATTATAGTAAAAGCATATTGGATTTGACTGGTTACACCAGATGTATGCCCCAGCACTTCCTCAGCTCACAATTCCAGGTAATGGGTTGGGGAATATGCTGCCAACTTCCTTGTCTTTTTGGGTGTTGACTCAATTATTTGCCTAGTAGAGGCAGCTAAGTTCAGAAGACAGCTTGTAAGTAAAATGTTTCTCATCTAAAAATTTGGTTTGGATCCCTTACCAACTTTGCATGACTGCTGCACATTTACAAATAAAGGTAACAAATTAGATTTGTAAGTCCTTGTTTTTATTAAATGAGCTGTTCTAAGGGGAATTTTTTTTGTTGTGTGGCAGCTACAGTTTGTCATGTTAACTGTGGGCACCTCACTATCTTGCTGGCCACGCTGTCCAGTGTACGTGGGGATTGCAGATGTATTTCAACATGAGTAATTTGTCAGTACAAGAAGATATTATCATTCCAGCAAAGACACACAAGTTCAGGAGACAGGACAGTCTCCTTCTTTCTCTTTTCTGCTTCCAATGCAAATTATACTGATACAGCTTCACAAGTAGTATTATTTAACTCTGTATTTGAACGGGTTTGTGGGGTTAGTTTGGTCAGACAGTGCAAGAGTAACAGAAACAGTTATATAAAAGAATTTCAGTAAAATAGAAATACTTTAATGTCAGAGGCTGGTAGTCAGTGGGTACATAATGCATTTGAAGAAGAGATTACTGGGGAAGAGAGGTTGGGAATGAAAGGTGATTTGGACCTTTTAATTTCTTTGGGGAAAAGATTAAACAAGTGATATAATTCTCACTACAGAAAGCAGTCTAATCAATGATGATGTTAGGCCCTAATCATAAAGCAAAATAAACTGTTGAAAATTAAGAAGCAAAGAATCTCAATTATCTATAGCTCCTTCATCTGAAGCTCCTGTTCCAATGAAGTGGAGTTTATCTAAACCAGAAGGATCATAAGCTAATTTGGTTTTGCGGGGGTCTTTCTAGATGAATTCCACTGGACAACAGTTTTCCACAGACATGGCAAGAAAAGGTTAAGAAAGATTTAGCAGGTGAATTAACTACAGCTGCCTATGTCACCGCAGCTGAGCAAACTGCAGGACTTTGCACCAATGCAAAGGTGTACAGTAACTCTACACCCCTCTAAATCAGAAGTAGAATCTCATTGACTGCTATACAGCAGTGGAGGAATCATTCTGTATATGTGTTTATTTTTAGTACTTTTTTTCCCTAAGCATATGGCAGCAGTTATCAAGTATTACTTCAGCGGTTCAAAGCCCTGCCTGGTGGATTAGTTGGACCTTGGGTCTATGCAACATCTCTCTTTTCTTTTTTTCCTTTGTGTCCCAGCTTCAAATAATCAAAACCTGCTTTTTTACTGTCAGCATTCATCTAGTATTTGTGGTTTTGTACAGCACGTAATTTGGGAAAGAGTATCAAAGTTTGTAGAATGTGGGTATTTCTGCAAGAAAATGCAGCAGCTATCTGCTGTGCGGACTCTGGCTATTGTCAGCATGACTGTGCCACTTTACCGTTTCTTATTGAGTAGAGCAAAAAGGCCAGGCAAACCTGTCCGCTGGATGCTGCATTTTGAAGTATTACAGTTTTCAAAGGTTCAGCAGTATGATTTCAGTGAAGAAAAATGCTGATTATTTTTTTCTGAATTTTGGTGTGTATAGTCATTTTTCCCTTTGTTCTTTAGGGGGAAGTGTGCTTTGTCTTGTTAAGATGTTTTGCATATTGGTGTGCTCTTCATTAGTCTAGGAAATGTATTAACCTTCTTTTTGCTCATATTTTTAATTACCTTTTCAATTATGGTTTTCAATTACCATTAGGGATCCCTAATTTTGTATGAGAGAGAATTGTGCTAGGCGCTTTACACCCACAGAAGAGACCTTTACCCGAAGTACTTAATACCAAAATATAAAGACCATAGGTGGCATATGGATACAGTTGGAATCACAAAGAAATAATTAATTAGTGTTGGCTGGCACAATAAGCAACAGTCTCTGTACATCATCATTTTAATTATCTTCTGATTGCTTTGAGCTATGTGTTTCAGGGATGATTTTTGACCAGGGAGGAGGCGTTTTGATGGGGGCTGCTTACTACCTCCTCTTCATAATCTTTGCCTTTATGATAATAGCTCTTCAGAAAGACCCAAACCAGAAGTGGACATTTTGAAGAAAGACTTTTGTGATTTGTATCATTCACAACGGATGAGAGGAAATGGCCTCAAATTGCACCGGGGGAAGTTTATGTTAGATATGAGGAAAAATTTCTTCACTGAATTGCGGTCAGGCATTGGAACAGGCTGCTCAGGGAAGTGGTGGGGTCACCATCCCTGGAAGTATTCAAAAGACATGTGGATGTGGCACTTAGGGATATGATTTAGTGGTGAACATGGCAGTGCTGGGTTAATGATTGGACACGATGATCTTAGAGATATTTTCCAATCTTCATGATTCTATGATTTTAAATATTCCATACCTAGTCAGCTCTGGAGCCATACAACCAGATTGTCTTAGAAATAATTGTGGAATTGAGGGTTTTGCTTTTGTTTGGTTCTTTTTTTAGCTAGGCAGTGAGGTAGCTGCCTGGATACACATTTGTACTGATCCAGGTAAGTTGGTAAATGAAACATAAAAATGGTCCCTTGTGGAAGAGCTTAGAACATTTGAGATAGCAAAACCCTGTAGCACGCATTAGTTCATGTTGTGCTTCTCAATGAGGTAAAGGGCTCGCTCACCTGCTTTGCAGTTGGAAAGCTGGTAATTCACTTTCCCCTGCTCCCCTGCCTTTCTTTAGCAGCTAGGAAACAGCTGAGTCCTTCTGGGGTGTTTTTAGGTTGTTCATACTCTTCAGTGGTAAACCCGAGAGCTGGGATATTAATATTTTATTTCCATGTTGCACATACCCATGTTTCTAACCCATGGAATTTCACCCACTTTCTGGTTCTAAAAATTAAGCACAAGAAAGTTTGTTTTGGCAGATTTAAGATATGTGAGTTACTGAGCGTATTTCCTGTTAATAAATTTTCTATTTGATATTCTGTTCCTATGCTAGTATAAATTCAGATCTCTGTTTTGGGATTTGGTCAATGTTTGGTCAACATTGTGTCAGTGTCATTTGCATCAGCTCCCTGGGCTGTGACCCTATGGGAAGTCCACACTATAGCAGGCTCCTGCCAGAATCTGCAGACCTTTGGAGAGAGGAACCCACACTGGAGCAGGTTGCTGGCTGGACTTGTGACCCTGTGGGGAACCCACACTGCAGGAGTGGGTTCCTGAAGGATTGCACCCCGTGAAAAGGGACCCACACTGGAGCAGGTTTGCTGGCCAGACTTGTGACTCTATGGGGAACCCACACTGCAGTAGTGAGTTCCCGAAGGATTGCACCCTGTGAAAAGGGACCCACGTTGGAGCAGTTCATGAAGAACTGCAGCCTATGGGGAGGACTCATGTTGGAGAAGTTCATGGAGGGCTGTCTCCTGCGGGAGGGGCCCCACACTGGAGCAGGGGAAGGACTCCTCTCCCTGAGGAGGAAGCAGTGGCAGAAACAACGTGATGAACTGACCGTAACCACCATTCCCCATCTCTCTGTGCCACTGGAGGAGAGGAGGTAGAGAATGGGGAATAAAGTTAAGCCCAGGAAGGAGGGAGGACTGGGGGAAAGGTGTTTTTAAGATTTGTTTTATTTCTCATTATCCTACTTTGATTTAGATTGGTAATAAATTCAACTAATTTCCCAAAATCAAGACTGTTTTGCTCATGACAGTAATTGGTGACTGATCCCTCCCTATCCT